TATTATAATATATGTCTGAATTGACTCACCTAAATAAATTTGTATATTTTTATATCTGAGATAGATGAATCTATAGATCTGAGATAAAATAATACATATATTTATATTACTGAGGTAAATGAATTTATAAATTTCGATGTCTGAGATAGATACTTATATACACGTTTAAAAATGTGAGATAAATACATTTATAAATACGAGATAATAAATTAACATATTTCTGTATCTGACAATGACTCACCTAGCAAAAGACTCATATTGGGTCTAAGCAATCTTGTAGATTACGAATATAAAACGCCTTAACGCCTTAACGTAAAGCAGTGACAATACCATGTACAAAAAGACAATATATATACATGAGCAAGCACATGTGTAATAACTATATAATTGACGACTATGATGAGGCAGGGTGCACACAGCTAACAATACCATGTACGAGACGAAACAACAATGAACAGCCACGTGCAAGCATGTGTGCAATTAACAAGTACATACAAACATATTACATACACAACACATTACATACACAACACATTACATACACAACACATTACATACACAACACATTACATACACAACACCCTTGACGACCATGATCAGACAGGGTATAAGAAGCGCTCGCAGGAAGATTGGGATCCAGATATTGGAGGCGGTCAGGCCCATGCGATAGGGCACACAGAAACGGCCCAGCGTGTCTGTGGCTGAGAAGATCAGCAACAGAATCACGGGCCACCAATCCCCAGTCCATTTGGGGTTGGAATAGCACGGCACCGCCGAGATGAGCCCAGGCCACAGCGACAGTGTGATGGTGAAGAAGGTCAGTACAAGCGCGGCGTTTGGCGCTACCTGAATATGTGAAGGTGTGAGTGGCAGTTCTCGGGGTTATTAAGTAGGTGAGATGTTGGCGAGTGGGACTGTGATAGTCTTGGGATGCCGGTGATACGTGCTAGTGAGGGTGTTTCTGTTTATGTATTTAGTATGGCAGTTTAGTGATACGTGTTAGTGAGGGTGTTTCTGTTTTTAGTATGGTAGTTTAGTGATACGTGCTAGTGAGGGTGTTTCTGTTTATGTATTTAGTATGGTAGTTTAGTAATACGTGCTAGTGAGAGTGTTTCTGTTTTTAGTATGGTAGTTTAGTGATACGTGCTAGTGAGGGTGCTTCTGTTTATGTATTTAGTATGGTAGTATAGTGATACGTGCTAGTGAGGGTGTTTCTGTTTATGTATATAGTAAGGTAGTTTAGTGATACGTGCTAGTGAGGGTGTTTCTGTTTATGTATTTAGTATGGTAGTATAGTGATACGTGCTAGTGAGGGTGATTCGTTTATGTATTTAGTATGGTAATTTAGTGATACATGCTAGTGAGGATATTTTTAGTTTATGTCTATAGTGGGTAGTTTAGTGATACGTGATAGTGGTGGTATTTGGCTTATGTATATAGTAGGAAGTTTGGATATTGTTGAGTGGTCGTTAATACGTGCTAGTAGGGCGGCGTCTGGCGCACACATGCCGCATTAAACATACACAGGCAATAAACCCTACAACCCTAAACTCCAAATAAACTAACGGATGCACCCGTGACACTATCTCATACCATTGCTCGGCGGTCACGTCCCTGGTATCGACAACAGACAGACAAGGCCGTTTAAAAGACCCTCAAAACGCTTCCAACGAATCCACCTTATTCCACCAATCATTGAGAATTATATACGAGACAGGGACAACATCTCTCCCAGTCACCCAATGCACTCGTACATCCCACACATGTACAATCCATCCATAACCGTCAACAAAACAACACATATATCATTACTATCACACGTACCTTCCGAAGTATCGCACTCCGTTGCTCAGCAGTCATGTCGCTACCATCCTCCTCAGGCATGGCTTCCAACAGCGCAGCATCCTCACCCGCGTCTGCTCCCCGAGCTTCGGCCAAACGGTCCTTGGCCACAGGTGTCCTCAGAAGGGCGTAGTACCCGACAATACAAAACAAAAGAGTTGCCGCGCCTGTGGGATGCAGTAGGGGTGAACGGGAAGGTGAATAT